GTTCTGTTGTTGATGGACATTCTGGCTATTATTTTGCTATTACACAATGCCACCATTAATGTTTTTCTGCATGTTTTCAAATGCACATATGTAAGTTTCTCTAGGGTATATGCCTAAGAGTGGAATTGCTGAGTTATAGGAAATGCACCTCTTCAGCTATACTAGATAGTGCCAAATTAATTCCAAAAGTGCTTGTTCTAATTTACTCTTCTGTCATAAGAATATAAGGATTCAAGTTGTGCTTTCTTTTTGCCTTTTGTTCATTGAAGAAATGTTTATTGAACATTTGTAGCAGTACATAAAAAGACAAAAAATCCTGCTCTCAGGGAGTTTATATTTTAGTGGAGAAAAATAGCTAAAATATGTAATATAGCAAAGGTATCTGTTTATGGAAAAAAAAAATAAAGCAGGGGGAGCGGGTGTTATGTCACTGCTCTTAGAACCGTATGGGTCGTTAGAGGCTAAAGGGATGCAGTGTAACTCCACTGTTGTGGGGGTTTATTCGTCATCTATCTGTACCATGACTAGGCGCCCAAGATTTAATTCAGCAGCTGAAACTTCCACTCTGGTGACTCTTGTCAACAGACCCTCAGGAAATCTGTTATGTCCTACGCTATCACCACCAAGCATAAGGTCATTGAGTCAGGAACCCTACTTTTTGTCCACTATGCCTGAGGAGCTGAATTGGCAGCCCTCACCCACACATTGTTACCTAACCTCAAAAAGCACGTCAGAATGTGCGCTGTGTCTCCTCCTCTGGGGCGCCCGTCAAAACATGAACCCCATGTGTGGCAGTGTCAGAGGCTCTTCAGTTGACTTTTAAACTTGCCACTCTAAAATCTGAGAATCACAGCCATTATTAACAGTCTGTAAGGAAAATCCTTTGGCTGACCACAACTAAGGCTGTAACTACTGTTTTTCAGGCCAGATCTTTATACAGTTTTAACACCTACATCCTCCTATGTATGTCCCTTATTACTCTCACAGGATTGATCCTCAGAATTTACAAAATGAACACTGTAAAAAGTTAGGGTATATATTTTAATCTGATAATCTGTGATACACTCCAGGTGGCCATCTAGTTGTTTCCATACATCCCGCTGCCCCATCTAGTTTACCTACTACATTCAGTGTCATGAGGGGGAGGACAAAGACGACGATGGCATCTATAAATTCTAACCGATTTACTGTTTATTTTCCAAGAATAGCTCAGAACTGCTCAGGACTATGCCTTACTTGCCTTCTCAAACTGACAATGTAAATAAATAAACCAATAAAGATAAATGTGAGCAGTGAGACCTGCCCCTTTTCTTTTCTTTTTTAGTGATCAAAAGGGTTTTATCCAGCTTCCGATGGTTAGCTTTTAAGAATATTATCTAATAATTTTGTAAGCTTTTTCCCGGGTGGATTGAACCCTATTAGGGAAAAGCCGTCATTGTTAATGTTACCCATACGTCATGGGAATACCATTTATGGCACCCATTTCACAGGAAATATATACAGGAGATCTCAAAGTTTTACCAAGTTAAACGTGATTACACAGACTTAACTACTCCCAGTGTGCAAAAGGAGTAGAAGAAATACAGTCCTAAAAAAATAAGCTAGTCCTAGTACAAAGTTTAAATAATCCAGCACCCTTCCTAGTGCTCATATGAGCGTAAGAATAACTCTTAACAGATAAATTGATTTTTATCCATGTTAAATTGTCATGGGGTAGAGACATTTCTCATCCACCTTGACTGACCCAAATAATTTCTAAATGCGTGTTTCTAATATTGTGAGCAACTGCAAAACCCATATGAGTCGTCTGAAGTTTTATCATTTACAGGTATGTGACGCATTCCCAGATCCTCCAGCCAACTCAACATCAGCTCCTTGACTGGGTCCTGATTAAGATCCTCCCAAGACAGACTTCATCGGATCTACGCTCAAGAGGACTCTACCAGGTTTTCCTGACCCCCCCTACATCGCTATAAAGTGCCAAGGCCTTAAGACTTGGGTATATGTATTACAACGGCAAGAGTGCCAGCGCCAGCAAAAGATCCATTGGACCTGTCAGCTCCTCTGTTTCACCGAGCAGACATAATCTTACCAAGAAAGCAGAGTAAGCCAAGTGCCTCTGTGTGACACCACCACCAGCTGATAACAAAAAAAAAATAACTAATTTAGCCTAGAGCCTGTCTCTTCTTGAGAAGCTGGGATTTGAAGGAGCTATTCTGAGATCTGTGCTACTAGTAAGTGACTAATAACATTGTAAGTGACTGATTAACGTTATAGACTGGATTGGTCCCTGAGTTCAGAGACTGAGTTGCAATTGAGTGAAAAATAGACAACGAAATCTTGAAGAATTGCACAGAGGTGCAAGCCAAATTTAACCCTCTCCAAGTAATGTTGGTTGAACTGAGAAATCGCTAAACCAAACCTGTATTAGGACTGGTTACTTTGGTGTCTCTCTTTGTCATTGTTGCCTCTGGCTGTTACATTGCTCCCTGTGTTGTCTTTCTAGATCCAGATGTTCTCAGATAATTCACATTGCCCTGATTGTGGACAGCAGTGGTTCCCTAGTTTAGAACTAGGCCATTGGTTGTACCAAACCGAACTTGTCGAAAATGAATGTTACCAAGTATTCTTAGACCGTATTAATAGAGCTGATTATTGCCCTGAGTGTTATCCTGATAATCCTGCTAATAGAAGCCTTGTTCTTCCGTGGTCTTTCCCACTTGAGTGGGCTCCCCAAAATCTCACCAGGTGGACCTTTGAAAAAGCTTGCCATCCATTTCTTCTGGGTCCTCCACTGGTTAGAAAAAGAATACATGACTCTAGACTAGCTGGTTTTAACCCTGCATTACAGTTAATCTTGACCAGAACAGATAAAACCTTAAATAAAAAACTTGGCCAAAGCAAGTAACTTCTCCAACAGTCAAAATCATCAAGTTCTAGAGGGTTTTGTGCTAGTAGCCCAAGGAAAATGGAAAAAATAACTCATTTCTAACTCTAACCCACACCGTCACTACTTTAGGGAACTGCTTAAATCATTGGATCTGCTTCTGTGGCCTACACGTGTTTTGTTCAGCCTGAATTTAGTCAGTATTCGAGCCAGACTGTTCCTGTAGAGCTAGACTAATCCATATTCCCCATAAGCGATGTTGTGAACTATCTTACCACCCCTAAAAAGTTCCACAGCCTAATTACTGACGAATGCTAGGTTGTCCTAGAAGGGGGGCCCCACACTGTGCTGCACTGTGGGATTTTAAGGGTAACTTTTGTAGGAATGCATTCTTGTTGAAGCTGGATCCTAGATTATTCCAGTAAATATTAATAAGAACTGTATTCTAAATTCCACATCTTACACACTGATCAGTGATGGTATACATTTTTATATATATATATAAATCTGTTCATATATAACCATTTATTCATCATTGACTCTGGCCCATCCTCAGTGTGGCTGTGATGTTGGTAACTGGTCACTGTCAGAGAAATCACATTGTATGAGGCAACACATGCACAGGTTATGTAAAAACATGCAGAAATATGCCACCTGTCTACACTTTGCTCTGCATAAACAAAGACTGACCTTGTGATGAGTGAATTTGCAATGTCCTCCCCTGGACGTGGAAAAGTACCTGTGTGAGATACATGACAAAAGGAATTATCGAGCCTGACTCCATATGTGTTATGAACAGTCTAGAGGAAGCAACTTTCTTAGAACTAAGAAAGTCTTGCTGAACATTGGCCGCATTCTAGATTTTTCCTGTTCATGAAAATTATGGAACCAGAGTTGGGGTTAAGCAACTTAGAGCTATTGAAAACAACTCAGAGGCCACTGAACAATTTTTAAATTACACTTAAGATGCTAGGTATCTAGTGCTAGCATATTACCTCAACAATGTTATCAAGGACCCAAGTTCTTTCTCTCTTTCCCTGGGATCCTTGACATGTTTGCTTTTTGTCCTTATGGTGGTTTCTTTAATGAGTACAGTATGGCTTGTTGCACCAGATATTTTAATCCCAGGCAAAGGCTAGAAGTAGGAAGCAAAAGGCTTTCTCCTTTGAAGTCTATCTTTTATTTGGGAATAAAGTCTTTCCCCAAGGTTCATAGCAGGTTTCTTCCTAACATCTCATGAGAAGGTACTGGTTCACAAGGGAGCCTGGGAAAGCTGGGCGGAGGTGAACAGGATTAGCATTGCCTGGGTAGGGTGCATTGCCTCCACTGGTAAAATTGGGGCTCTTTTAGGTAGGGAGGAGGGGGAAATGAATGACTGTCGGTGTGCAACATCATACTTGCCACACGTTGTGAAACTTAAGTTATTTGTTGGTCTGTGTAAAGAATGTACCCCAGAGACCCATCCTGTACCTGCCTTATGTCTATCGTGATGGAGGTTCTCTCCTGTTACCTTGCTAAATAAACTGTGTGGGCTGCTGAATTGAGTGAAGACTAGTTAGTTTGTCATTAACCGTTAATTAAGAACTCCTTCACTATGCTAAAGCTCTTCCTATAAAGTGAAAATTTACTTCGAGATAGTGCTTTTGAGGACTGTGATGTGATCAATATTATTGTCCCCTAAATTTTTTCAATTATTAGAGAATGCTTATGCTACAAGGACACACACTAAGAAACACTATATATGTGTGAAATTTTAGACAGAATAGAGAAAAGGTCTTTATTTTAACCAATCTCTCCTTTAAATAGTAAGGTCTATTGAAAAGGACTTATACCATTGATCTCCCAAATCAATTCCTAAGCAGTGCCTTGGAGAGCTTACTAAAAAATGCAGATTTCTTGGTTTACTATAGACATTTTTTCCTTAGGTGGTTTGTAGGGCCCAGGAATCTGCATATTATAATAGCCCCTCAGGAGAGTCTTACACAGGTGCTCTGTGGACCCTACTTTGAGGAACACTGTCGGAGCACATCCGTAGTGTTCGCTTACCTGGCTTTAAAGAATGGGAGCTGAGACTCGTAATACAGCAAGGCGGTAATATTTACTGTACTTTCCTGTGCTGGCAACATGCTTCATGTCAGACTGAAGATCACTGTTGATATTTTAGGTCATAGCACAGCCACGGTTTTCCTCATTAATTAAACTAATCAGAACTGTCCTAGTCCTCCTCACAAACAGTTGTTTGGTGTCATGAGCTACATGAGTAAGCAAGAGAAAGGGATCAAAAATGCTAATTTTAATATTAAGGGTACCTTGCCTTCAAACATGATTATATTATCATCCCTGTTACATGGTTAGTTCCCAAAAACTAGCATCATGCAGAGCTCATACAACTGAGCAAAGGAGAAAATTTAGGGTGGCTTTGCAGCTTTTCAGCTTAGATCTTTTTCGTATGCCTTCACGTGGCTTAAAATATTGCAGATTCTAGAATACTCCATAGTTGATGTGAATAATGAATTTTATTAAAATATAAGTAGTGTGTTGTTAAAAGTAATTCTCACAACAAATGATCTGGGGGTTATCTGGTGTTTTAGATTATGTAAGTCGTATTAGTCTCTATTTTTATAGTGTGGAAGAATTGATAATATTATACATAATGGTAGCATTTCTAAAATGACCATTTTAACTACTTCTTTTACTCTGTGGCAGACCTGGGAGTGGACGGGTTAATGGAAACATGCTGAAGCAGACTGGGAAGAAAATACATCCACCAAAAGGGTGGGGGTTCTCATGGGGTGTGGGTGGCTGAGGTGAGACTCATCACTAAGTTACAGGAGGAGAAAGTGCCGGCGAATGCAAGTCCATGGCATCCAAACACTGTGGCAGTCGCATGTCACAGCTGTCTGTGAAAGTAAGGTGAGCCGCAGTCCTGTCACCTCTCTAATCTCCCATGGCAGCCCTTGATTCTCCATGCAATTTTGGGGACATAGCTTGAAAACTGCTTTTTATAGGGGAAAAATAATGACCTTGCCACTAGCTAGGCTTGTATTCTAATTCTGACACTACTAAATGACTCTGGGCATTTTAACCTCTCTGTATCTATTTTCTTCGTCTGTGAAATCGGTTGTGTAATAATACCTTGCACTGCTGTGGGGTTTAAATGTGTTAGCGTGTGCCAGTCACGGCACAGAGTGAATCTGTAGGACTAGGAGGGGTACAGGGCAAAAAGGCAAAAGTTAGAACTAGGAAATAATGTAGAGTTTTAGAACAGGGATTAAAACCAGTTGTTAGAATGTGGTGCTGAATTATTTAAAAACTTGTTAAATCTCTCCCAGTGAAGGACAAGATTGGTCTTGGGACTGAGGTTGAGCCTATATTGTGTCAGATGGTCTTAGGTATAAGGATCAAGAGGCCTGGAGGGGTGGATGGACCCAAGGTAGATCCTTGTCATATTTTTTAGGTCCATTTAAAATCTAATTACAGTAGATGTAATTGCTGTGTGATTTATTACATCACTTGAGACTTTCCACAGCACTGAAATAAGCAGGTTGAGAAAAGGTGAAGGATATGTGCAAATTTACTCAGGTTATAGGTGCTAGAGTCACAATTAAAACCTAGATTTGGCCTGGGTGTGGTGGCTCACATCTGTAATCCTGGCGCACTGGGAGGCCGAGGAGGGAGGATCGCTCGAGGTCAGGAGTTTGAGACCAGCCTGAGCAAGAGCGAGACCCCATCTCTACTAAAAATAGAAAGAAATTATCTGGACAACTAAAAATATATATAGAAAAAATTAGCCGGGCATGGTGACAAATGCCTGTAGTCCCAGCTACTCAGGAGGCTGAGGCAGGAGGATCACTTGAGCCCAGGAGTTTGAGGTTGCTGTGAGCTAGGCTGATGCCACGGCACTCTAGCCCTGGCAACAGAGCGAGACTCTGTCTCAAATAAAAAAAAAACAACAACTAGATTTAAGTATTCCATGGAGCGCTTTGTAGTGTGTTTAATATAAGCTTTTTTAAGGTGTCATGGTTAAAAGCTTAGGTCCCACAGCCAGACTACCTGAGTTCAAATCCTGACTCTGCCCTTAGCATTTGTGTGTTCCTGGGTAAGGTTCTTAACCTTTCTATATCTCAATTTCCTTATCTGTAAAATAGTAGGAATATTAATAGTCCATACCTCATAAGATTGTTATAAAGATTAAATGAGTTTATACATAGTGCTTTGAATCCTGCCTGGCATGAAGAAGGCACTCAATAAATATTAGATTTTATAGTTGTTGTGTATGCTTTATATGTTATTTCTTTCCACAGCAGGATTGTAAATTGTTTGAGGGTCAAGCTATGTTTCTTTTTATCCCTAGAGCCTAAAATGGCATCATTCACTAAAATAAAAGTGTTTAAAAATAAAAAAAAGATATATACTTGTACCCTTACTACCTACATTAGTCATGATGGCATTTACGTCTAAACTGCCATCCTGGAATTAATGATTCTTTTTTGATTTTCTTAGTTGCTAAGCTTATAATTTCCTTCTCTATTAAAAAAAAATTAAACCTCTGTGCTTCCTGATACCTACTCCTTCCTCCCCTCAGGTTCTGCCTAGGTTTTCTTCTCCGCTTCTTTTTGCTGGTCCCCATGGCAACACTAGCAGTTTACAGGACGGAGTGGAGAATGGGTAAAGTCCTGCCGCTCTCTCAGCCCCATCTTGTCTCACGGACGGCTTTTCCTGTCCTCTATCCTCCCGGCTGGCGGTGACACGATGAATGGTGGGCTGTGGTGGGAGTGAACCTCTGCAGTGCGAGGCCATTGCATGTGGGCTCAGAGTTACCATTCCAGGCCTTTCCTTTTCATGCTTTTCCTACAGAGGCCAATGTAGTTTATTACTCATTTTTAAAAATCATTATCTACGTCAAAGACACAGAAAAATGCAGAGAATAACAAGCACCTGTGTACCTAGATCTAAACTATGTTAACATTCTGCCATAGTTAACCTCAGTTCTTTTTGTTTTTTAAGAGACTTTACATATACTGTTGAAATCTGCTTGTTCTTGGAGAAGCAAGCACTAAATGGAAGTTGATGTGTACCCTTTGCATTTATGTGTTTATTTTTTATTATAAATTTATATGTGTGTAAACAATGCACACAGTGACAGAATTAAATACTTTCAAAACTTTTTTAGCATCAAATTCACATGTAAGCATGTAATATGTATCAGTTTGCAGTTACCCTTAGAACACTTAATTTTATATGTTGGAGACTCCTGAACTTGGCTGTGCAGAGGGCGTCTGGTGCACCACATGGTGGCACCTACCGGATTGTCAAAGAATTTACTGCTGTCCAGTGAGATGAAGCAGAAAGGGTAATTCTTTTTTTTTTTTTTTTTTTGAGACAGTCTCACTCTGTTGCCCTGGCTCGAGTGAGTGCCATCGCGTCAGCCTAGCTCACAGCAACCTCACACTCGTGGGCTCAAGCCATCCTACTGCCTCAGCCTCCCGAGTAGCTGGGACTACAGACATGTGCCACCATGCCCGGCTAATTTTTTCTATATATTTTTAGCTGTCCAATTAATTTCTTTCTATTTTTAGTAGAGACGGGGTCTCGCTCTTGCTCAGGCTGGTCTCGAACTCCTGACCTTGAGCAATCCACCCGCCTCGGCCTCCCAGAGTGCTAGGATTACAGGCGTGAGCCACCGCGCCCGGCCAGAAATGGTAATTCTTAAAGGAGCACAGGGCATCCACGTTTGCAGAGGGAACAGTGAGGCAAATCTGTGTCCCTCTTTAGAGAAGTTCCAGGAAATCGAATTAAGCAAAGCATTTCCCTGAGCCTACAATTCAGCGCATTCTCCATAAATGGAGAATAAAACCCTGTGGCTTTAACCTGTTACAAGCCCTGATGGAGACAATTAAAGCAAAAGGACGCAAGTTCTGTTGCAGATTTCAGGGTAACAGGGAAGTGGAGATGACATTGATGAGGTTAAATTTTTTTAAGTAGAGAAATGAACCTTTATTACCTCCACATACGGGGCACTGAAAACCAACATTTCACAACTGAACTTGTAAGGGATTCACTGAAATAAGTGTCTTTTGTGCAGCCCACAGGTCTTCATCAGATCCTTATTGCAAAGGATGCCATCAAAGGTATCTTTTTTCACATATGGTTGTGGAAGGATTTTTTCCTACAGACAAAAAGTCCCAACAGCTCCATTCTCCATCAGGATGAGGCTCTGCCTCACGTCCATTATCCAGTCCAGCACTGGGTTCCTCGTGAGCACGTTTCCTGGTGGCGAGTGGACAGTGTTCAGACGATCGACCTGCCACTGGAGCAGTGGCTTCCAGATCTCCCTGCTGTCCCACCACGTGGCCTTTCGTGAGGATGTGCCAAGTACCTTCCTGTTTGTCCCCTTCCTTGCAGCGGCAAACAGTGGTGTCTAAATGCAGTGGGCAGGACTGATGTGTGCTCGGTGACAGGAAAGGCTCATGTCAGCATTTGTAAGATAATGGAAATACCTGTTCTGGCTGCTTTGCAGATTCTTTTTTATTTTAAGCTCGTAACCAAGGAATACATTTTTGAAAGCATTCAGTTCTGTTTGTTTTCAATAAAGTTTACTGAGGAAAATCTACATACAGTAAACATACGGATTTTAAGTTTGATGACAAATGGAACCACCGCCTCAGTGAAGGTGAAACATTCCATAACCTCCTCAAGGTCTCCTTGCTGTTTTCCAATCCATACTCTTCCTTCCCGTAACCGCTAACCTGTTTTCTGTTACTGTTGGTCGTAATCATTTGCCTGTTCGAGAACTTCATGTACGTGGAATCATTCGACGTACACTTTTATGTGTGGCTTCTTTCGCTAATTTTTTAGATTCATCCAAATCTGAAAGGGAGGACAGGGAACGCTCCAAATCTGAGGCATTTCTAAGTGTTCACACCACCAGAAAGAAGAGTCTGTCCTTAGCTCCTCCCTTCTCTTCCAGTGTACATGCACCGTCACTGTTCATACAGTCGTTCATTTTTTATGTTCTTTTAAATTAAAATATGGAGTTGCTACTCTACACTAGGTACTGTGCTGGGCTTTCGGGATCAAAATTTTTAATTGGTAAAATCTAATTTTACCCAAGAGTACTGTGAGAAAAACACAAAGAAGGCTAGTTAGCTGGCCCCTGAGCTAGGCTATCAAAAAAATGTAGCACTTCACAAAGCCCTTAAATATGTTTCTTTGTATTTCAATCCTCATAGCAATCCTCAATCTTATTTTTACAGGCAGTGAAAGTTAAATAACTTACTGATCAATTTGTTTTTGACAAAAAATAAGATTTAACTATAAAATGATACTCAGTTTTTATTGCTTATAAATTGCTTTGGATTTTGATTTGTATGAAGTTCATAATAATTTTTCTTTATCTGTCTTTTTGGAGAATTGCATAAAAAGGCATCGTATAAAGGGATCTCCGTGTCCACATTTTACCAAAAGATACTTCCAGAAGACCATGAGGGCGGCAGTCCAAATATGTGTTTCCTAGTACCTGAAGGCAGCCCTGTGCATTGTTACTTGTTAATGAGTGGATGCCTTTGATAGGCAGACAATGAGAAAATTATATGGGAAAGAAATCAAAGATAAAAGGAAATATGCAGTGATTGTCATAGCACTGACTTAAATTTCTAATCTTAGAATTTTTTTTTTGGAACTTCCATTTCAGTCTATTCGCTTTACGATTCTGGACACTTGATCTTATTTTTTATACTTCTTCAACTATACTGGAATGTATTAAGAGATTATGATATCCATGCAAGGATAATGATAGTCTGTATCTTTTTTTTGTTTTAGTCTGCGATTTGGAGTATGAATCTCATGACACTGGAAAGTAGTTTTTCTTTACTAAAAAAGTTTCAGAGAGGAAATATTCCTCACACTAAACAGATTTAATAAAGCTGAAATTGGCATTTCCCCCTTGTACGGATAAAAAGTCATTTAATTTTTTTCATTTTATTTTAGTCACTATATGTATGCCTTGTTCCCTGGGTCCTCGGGAAGCATGAGTCTGTTGGGACTTGGGACAAGAAGAAAACAAGACGTCTTCACAAGGAAAATCAGACACTAAAACCACCACCCCAGACTCTGCAGAGAGAACACAAACATGACCGACAGTGGACTTGGGGAGCCCCAAGAGGGTAAGACTAGTTTGTCCAGCACTGACATTCGCCTGCAGGAAAACAGGCTGTGCTTAGAGAGAATCTCTGATGACTGAACCTGAAGTTTTGAAGTAAAAAAGCTAATCAAGTGGATTAATTTGCATTATTATTATTCTTTAATATTTACTGAATTTTACTGTAATACCAGACCCTAATTATAAGGAAGATAATTGTTTCAGAGACTCCAATAGTAGGGACCTATAATATTGGAAAAATACAATGCATCTTTTAAAAAGCTGATCTTTAGATCTGTAAAATAAAAAAAGGACTGTGCTATATTTAGAGGGGATATTTCAGTTACAGGTAAGAGTGAAATTTAAGTTCTTTATCCTGCTTATATGTATATGTAGGAGATATAGGTAAAATATGAAATAGATTTTTCAGAAGAGAAAGGACACTTATTTAAAAGTCTTTTTATTGGCTGGGTGCAGTGGCTGGTGCCTGTAGTCCCCAGCTGCTCGGGACGCCGAGGCAGGAGGATTGCTTGAACCCCGGAGTTCACAACCAACCTGGGTGATACAGCGAAACGAGCCCACCCCCACAGCTTGCACCCTCCTCAAAAACCCACAAAAACAAAAAATCTTTTTATTATGGAAGTTTTTAAGTATTGTAAAAGAACAGTATGGTGAACCTGCCATGTACTCAACATCCAGCCTCAGCTGTTACCAATATAATGCTGATCTTGTTGCCTGCCCCGGATTATTTTAATGTAAGTCCAAGACATAATATCAGTTTATTTTATTTGTAAGTACTTTAGCTTACATTGCCAAAAGATAGATTGTTTTTTTAAAAACATAACTAAAATATCTTACAGAAAATTTCTGGCTGTCTCTGGCTCATGTGTGTAATCCATCCTTGCACTTTGGGAGGTCGAGGAGGGCGGATAGCTTGAGGCCAGGAGTTTGAGACCAGCCTGAGCAAAATAGCTAGAGACCTTGCCTCTACAAAAATATTTTTAAAAAATTAGCTGGGTGTGGTGGTGTGTGCCTATAGTTCCAGTTACTCTGGAGGCTGAGGCAGGAGGATCACTTAAGCCCAGGAATTTGAGGTTGCTGTGAGTTATGAACGTGCCACTGCACTCAAGCCTCCAACAGAACGAGACCCTGTCTCAAAAACAGAAAAAGAAAAAAAAGGAAATTTCGAACGTGATATAAAAGTAGAGAGAGATACTAAGTGAACCTCCATGTACCCATTAAAGAGCTTCATCTGCTCTCAGCTGATGGTTGTCATTGTCTCATCTGTACTGCCACACTCCTCTGTTCCCCATGTCGTTTAACTGAGGCAGATTCTAGACATCCTGTAATTTTAGCCATAAATACTTGAATATGTATCTCTAAAAGATGAGGATTCTTTTTAAAAAACATAATCACAGTACCTTTATCATACTTAAAAAGATGAATAATAATTCCTTAGTATCATCAAAATATCTGGCATCCAGTCTTTTGTCTCTTGAAATTTGCCCCATTGTGGGTTTGGCTGATTACATTCTTGAGGCGTAATTTAGTGTATTTCTTTATCCCTGTATTTCTTAGAAACTGGTAGTTCTAGAAGCTTTATCAGATTCAAGATCAGTTGTTTGGGAAGAACACTTAACAGGTGATCTAGTGTACTTCGTAATGCATTGTATTGGGAGGTTAATGACATCTGGTTTTTCCCTGTTTTTGTGATATTGATTGATCGATGGGTTTAGCAGTTGTCAGTCTGGTTCATCCATTATAAAATTCCCCATCAGCCTTTTGCATAATGGTTTTAACTGCCATTGATGATCATTGCCTTTCATTAGGGAAGAAGATTTTTTTAATATAATGAAAAGTTGGTTCTATCACTCAGAATTTTTATATTAGCATTATTTGTCAAATTTATTAACATGATAATAAATTTGATTTAATCACCTTTAGAGGGAGCCAAGAGAAATAATGTTTAGGAAGAGTGCCTTGTAAACCATGAAAATCTATGTAAATATTATTAATCAGGGACCTTGTTAAAGTACAAAAATATGGGTAATTATTTTTCATTAAAAATTATACATTTTTATCTCATAGACTCTCAAAAGGATTTGCAAAGTGATCCATCAATAAATTCTCAGGCACAGGAGACCACAGTCACAGAAAGTACCACTGAAGAAGCTCAGACGCCACACCCTGCCTCTGGTCTTAACACAGACCACCAAGAGATAGAAACAATACATCCAGAAAGTGCAGATACAGTTGATGAATCAGAAAGTCCCGATGAAACAAATCTTGGGGACTATCCAAAGGATAAAACAGAATGTGGGAACAACCAGAGCTCTCAGGATGGAGAACAAGGGCATCAGGTCCCTTCAGAAAGTCTGGGTGAAGAACCCTCAGATCCAGATCCTGACGGTTCTGCAAGTGGTAAGGAAGGAAGAGCAGACACACACTTAGAGAGCAGCTCTGCAGCTGTCCCTGAGGAAGTGAGTGACAGAATTGGAGCTTCTCAGGAGCCATCTGCTGCAGGAATACAGGCGGCCCAGAGTCCTGGCCATTCCGGGGTGGGTCTTGAGAGCCAGGATACACTGAGGAGGCGACTGCTGCTACCAGGTGAGAGAACCCACTGAAACACTATCCTCTTGTGTATTGCTCTGTTACTGAGAACACAGCAAAAGTCAAGGGCCTTTTTAGAGAACTTTTATCTGTCTTTCATAGGGATTAAGGCCTTTGGGCTTTACCCGAGGTAACACAAAGCATTATGGCCGAGTTGAGATTAGAATGAGATTCTCATCTCCTAGAGTAGCTCATTCCACCACAGGAAGTTGCTTCCTACCCATAAACTGCATTCTTAACAATGTTTTTACTTACTGTTTATATTAACATTAAGGCAATATGACAAAAAGGGGCATGACTTTTAAAAAATTTGCCCCTGGCCTTTTCATTATTTCTTATGAGAATATTTTGACTTACAATTTTAAACATCTATTACTGTTGGGGAAACTAAATGTTATGTAAGTCAAGAGATGGGCATATTTTAAAATAAACATTAATGGTATGGTATCCTTAGGTCAGTCATATTTCAGTTTTTTAGGACTTTGAGCAAATCTGTTAATTGCTTTATACCTGATTTTCCCTGCTTGCATATTAAGGGGAACAAGCACATCTTCCCTCATGAAGGTAAGAGTTGAAGTTGCTCAATCCTTCCTTAGGACTCAAGAGATGTGGAGTCTAATTGGGGCCCTGCAACCTGCTCACTTGAGTGACCTTGGGCAAGTCTCTTAACTGCCTGGTCCTTTAGTGTCCTATTTGTAAAATGAAGAAGTCGGATGAGATGATGTCCGGGACATTCTGTTTGTCAGAGACTTGACCAAGTGCTAGTAATTCATGTTTCACTGCAAACCAGTGACTGGTCTCCAATGTGTGTTTCATTCACCAGTCGTTAGAATGGTCCATGACTTCGGTGTCCCTTTCATTCATAGTGTGTCTCTGGCGCCTGGCACAAAGAAACAACTTTCGGAATGTTTATCGAATGAGTAAATGTGATTTGTATAGACCATTATCTGCCATCAGAATTTCACCATTATGCAGGTTCATTGTGAGTAGAGAAAGAAAATGCTGCTTAAAACATGCAATTTATGTGTGGGAAGCAATTTAGCTTAGTGGAATGAGCTAATCTATAGTCTAGGACTGTGGTCCCAGCACTGCTTCCCGGCCTGTTAGGAACCGAGCCACCCAGCAGGAGGTGAGCAGCAGGCCGTTCAGCGAACAGCCTCACATCATGGCAGAAGCTCTGCCTCCTGTCAGATCAGCGGTGACATTAGATTTTCATAGGAGCAAAAGCTGTACTGTAAGCTGTGTACGCAGAGGATCTAGGTTGCGGCTCCTTATGAGAATCTAATGTCTGGTGATCTGAGATGGAGCTGAGGCGGTGATGCTAGTGCTGGGGAGCGGCTGCAAACACAGATGATCATTAGCAGAGAGGTTTGACTGCCAATGAATGTAATGCGCTTGGATCATCCCCAAACCACGCCCTGCCCCAGAACTCCCCTATCCTCCTCCCATGGAAAAATCGTCTCCTGTGAAACCTGTCCCTGGTGCCAAAAAGGTTGGGAACCACTGAAGGAGGTAAGAAACCTCACTCTGATCTCAGCTCAGCCACGTCTTTATGGGACCTTGGATGAGGCTCTTAACATCCTTGGACCTTTTTTCATGTTGGGTTAAGGAGGAGGTTGGAGTCGGTGTTCATTAAAGATTCTTTCAGTCCTTAAATTCCATGATGTGATATTTTAAGAACCTGTTTTTTGGTATGATATGAACTCTCCTCTATAGGTTAAGATGATTCTACTTGTCTGTGCTGATAGAGGTACCTGGCTGGAGTCAAGCCCGTGTCTAGATTCTGGAGTGATTTAGCTCAGAGTGCTATAGAGTGTTGCCATTTATTTCACTCACATATTTTAAGATTGACGTGCTTACCCTGCACCTATATTTTTACATATTTTATAAATTTTCTTCACCTTATATTCCTTGCCTTATCTCCTTCCCTACGAGTTCCAAACTTTCTTTCGTAAGCTATTTTGCAAGTGTACAGTAATGTCTCCTGTCTCTGAACTTAGTGCCTGTTATTTTTTCTACTTGGGGTCTTAGGAAGCCGTGTGAGACTGGAGTCAGGGCACCATTGCCCTGTAATGTTGAATCTCGTGTATGGTGAACATTCCTTAAATCCCTTCTGAATTGTGCACATTTTGCTGGGTCACACTGTAGACAGGTTTGGCTACAATATTAGAATACCTATTTCTTTATCTTTGATGTACGGGGCAGCGAGGAATTGTGAATGTAACAGCATCCTTGAATGAATTTCACAGCACTTCCTCTTGTTTTTCTAAGCAGAGTAAAAGTAACAGTGAGCCTTTAAGTAAATGACAAGAAAAAAGTTAGCTTTGTATAAAAGAAAATTTTATGAAGTATAAAAATTCTCTTAGTCAATTATTTGGGCTGGTGAGAGATACAAAGGTATGCACACTGTCAATAGTGTACTGTCTGAAAATAATACTGATCCTTTTTTCCCCCCAGAGGCTGAAAGTCGTCAACCAGAAACAGAAAAATTGGAAGAAAACAAAGAGAAAGCACAAGATGCCATAATAAAGATTAGTAAAAAGGCTTTTTGGAGCTATGGTGAGAACAAATGTGGTTTTACTGCAGTGTTGATTCACATTCAGAAACCCTCAGTGAGAATGCCTAGAAAACTAGCAAATTTGAATAGTTTTAACATGATATTAATATATTTTTTTAAATGTTTGATAGTAAGTCATAGTAAAATAGAGCAATAGAGTTTTAGGGAATTTTTTTCTCTTAAGAATGCTGGCTGATGTTTTGCTGTGCTTAACAGAATGAAAAATTCCCAGAGTAGAAAGGACTAGTCCTAAACAAGAATCTAAAACTGCCTTTCAATTAGAATATTAACTTCTCAAGTGGCATTTTTAAGGTTTGACCCCTAAAAAAAAGTTGTGCTATATAGGTACTTTGAGAAGGTAGAAGAAAATCCTGATAGCTCATTTCTAAATCACTTCATTAATTATAACAACAAATACATAAACTTGGATTTTACCTTTTAACAAGGATATTGTATATTCAAATAATAAAATCTGAGAAGAGATTAGGAAGGGTATTTCTGGCAGACTTTCCTAGCAGAAAGTTTAGATGAGTTAGGCAGAAGAACCTGCCACTTCCAGAGTAGAACCTGACAGCGTCTCTGCTTCGTTCCCGTTTACCACGGGCTTTGTTTCTGACTCATGTTCTAATTTTTTGTTCTTTTTCACAGGCCCCTTCCTTCTTGGCTTCCTGGTTGTGGCTTTTGTGCTAAGTTTTGTTAATAGCTACCATTCACTTCCAGCCCAGCAAGTACCCCAAAATCCAGCTTTGGAGGCCTTCTTGGCTCAGTTCAGCCAGTTGGAGGGTAAATTTCCAGGCCAGAGTTCCTTCCTGTGGCAGAGAGGACGTAAGTTTCTCCAGAAGCACCTCAATGCTTCAAACCCCACTGAGCCAGCCACGGTCATATTTACCGCAGCTCGAGAGGGGAGAGAGACCTTGAAGTGCCTGAGCCACCACGTCGCAGACGCCTACACCTCTTCCCAGAACGTCTCTGCCATTCAGATTGATGGGGCTGGAAGAACCTGGCAGGACAGTGACACTGTCAAGCTGCTGGTTGACCTGGAACTGAGCTACGGATTTGAGAATGGCCAGAAGGCTGCTGTGGTGCACAACTTCGAGTCCCTTCCCGCGGGCTCCACCTTGATCTTCTACAAGTATTGTGATCACGAGAATGCTGCCTTTAAAGACGTGGCCCTGGTCCTAACCGTTCTGTTAGAGGAGGAAACATTAGAGGCAAGTGTAGGCCCAAGGGAAACTGAAGAAAAAGTGAGGGATTTGCTCTGGGCCAAGTTCACCAACTCGGACACTCCCAGCTCCTTCAACCACATGGACTCAGACAAACTGAGTGGGCTCTGGAGCCGCATTTCTCACCTGGTCCTGCCGGTCCAGCCCGTGAGGAACATAGAGGAACAGGGGTGCCTTTTGAAAAGCTAAGCTCAGAGTCGATTATAGAAGGCACAGGCTCATGAAAAAGTTTAAAGGCCTTCAGAAATAGCCTGAAAAGCACAAATGAACTTATGTTAGAAAAAAAGTTTTCATTTTTTACTTTTTGTAAAATCTTTCTAATAATCTAAGCCTCGACAAAGCTAAGAATTGATGACATTTTTTCTTTGCCTTTTCAAGCAAATCAGATTTGAAATACAGCATGGTATCTATAACTGAGGAATATTTTAAATTCCAAGATACAGCAACAAAATCATTGCACAGGAAGATCCTCTTACTTCTCAGAGTAACTACTGAGTGATTTTTGTTTTCTTGAGTGAGACTCTAAAGAACCTTTTAGGTAGTGTTTGAAATCGGACAAAAGTAATTACAATTATGAAGCAATGATAAATTTTAGAAAATTTTTCAATCACGCGTTAAGTATTTTTAAAACTCACTTTAATAATGTAGTTGTGGGATTATATCCTATTCTATTTGTAGTTTTGAGTAGTATGAAAAAAGAAAATCTAAATTTAAACCATCGAAGACTTAACCTAAAAACTTACTATATGTAAAGCACTGTGCTTTTTTTCCGTTAGAGCTAAGAGCAGCTGTGCTCCAAAAATGTCCTGGGCCAGGTGTGGTGGCTCAGGCCTGTCATCCTAGCACTTGGGGAAGCCGAGGCAGGACTGCTTGGACTGTCACCAGGATCCTGGAATGTATTAATTAAGTTTTGGCTTCTCTGTTTCTACGATAAATATGTATATATATATTTTTTATTAAGTCATGTGATTAAAGTATGGAAGGATTTTAGGAAACACTAAGAAGGTATCAGGCTCTTTATTGATACCTAAGAAGATTACAAAGACGTGGGGAAGAATCTATTTGAAAATATCTGCCACTGGCAGGGTGCAGTGGGTCACGCCTGTAATCCTAGCACTCTGGGAAGCCAAGGCAGGCAGATCGTTTGAGTTCAGGAGTTCGAGACCATCCTGAGCAAGAGCGAGACCCCATCTCTACTAAAAAAAAAAATAGAAAGGAATTAGCTGGACAACTAAAAATACATAGAAAAAATTAGCCGGGCATGGTGGCGCATGCCTGTAGTCCCAGCTACTGTGGAGGCTGAGGCAGGAGGATTGCTTGAGCCCAGGAGTTTGGGGTTGCTGTGAGCTAGGCTGACGCCACGGCACTCACTCTAGCCCGCGCAACGGAGTGAGACTCTGTTTCAAAAAAAAAAAAAATACCTGCCACAGGAAAAACACATGAATCTGTTCTAACCGAAGCCTTAAGTTGTGCTCAATTGCATGTAGGGGCTTACCTGGAGGAACAATTTGCATTTGGGACATTGACGAAATCTTACAGTCTATTTCAGAAAAGACCCAAACACAAAGCATAGTGAATGTATTAAATGATATCAATGTCAATCCAATACAAAATCCGAGGAAACTGAAGAAAAATCTACATCCATATTTGGTTTTTTTCTGTATTTCTGGATCTTGGATGCTAGCACTGCATCACACAAAACCAACGGTGCCTTGTGGAGCTGTCATGTTGGCCCGCTGACCTGTGCTACCTCAGATCTGTCTGTAAAGGAACCAGCACGAAATGCATCTGTCTGATCTCTGTGAGTGACTCAGGGCACAGTTGAAACAAAGATTTTTACTCTTCCTTCAGTTGAATATGATTTTTCATCATTTACTTTCAATATAATTTAGAAAAATAAAGTTCTAAAAGTCACAATTCCTTTTTTATTTAACTGTTTATCCTTTTTAAAAACACTTTTCCTTCCATGTATAAGTGCAATCAACTAAGACTATTTTCAGTTTTCTGTCCACTATTTCAAAAACCATTTTAAAAAGAAGCAGTGTAGGCCGGGCGTGGTGGCTCACGCCTGTAATCCTAGCACTTTGGAAGGCCGAGGTGGGCGGATTGTTTGAGCTCAGGAGTTCGAGACCAGCCTGAGCAAGAGCGAGACCCCGTCTCTACTAAAAATAGAAAGAAAT